CTAATTGAGGGGGTAGTCGGTGTGCACACCCAGTAAAGATGTTGAACAGGACTTCGCAGGACAGATGTTGCCAGATTTTGTTTGGCGGGTGTAAACATTGAGCAAGTTGGCCGTCAAGATATCTTCAGGAATCGTCTGGCCTCTCTGAACCCTCCATAAGTTTCAGCATGAAGTAACCAAGGGATTATTCTAAATCCAGCTACTCTTTATGCAAGACTCGAACGGGATTGTGAAACTACCTGACATCTTCCTGGGATCGTGGAGGGAGTAAGCAAACCACATTTTATGAGTCTTCTTGCCTGCGATGGCTAAACCGGGTTGGCTCCAAGGCAGAATGCTCAAGTGCTCTTCTTGATTAGAGAGGAGTTATGATTTTCGTCTTTAGTGTGTTTAGTGTACATGATGGTGTCATACTTCGGGCCATTTGCTTAAATAAAAGAGTCATCTGCTTCAGTCCTTTTCCCCTTGTTGAGATTTAGCCACTTTCTTAACAATGAGGCCGGTCTGAAGGTTTATTTATCATTACAGGCTCATCTTTGGTTTATTCGAACCAGAAATCTAGTAAAACTTGAAAGAGGTTTTGCTAAGGTTTAAGCGACTAGTAATGACACTTAAGACGCCGGGAACGAAACGCAGAAAGTAGTGATAGATTTTTTATCCTTCCTGCTTTCAAACAATTTATTAATATCCTTGAATTGTAACATATATACGACTGTCACGCAGCGTCTTGTCAGGAAGAGGTGCCCTGAGATCTCGAGATTTCTGGATCAGTCTTTTATTACTTGACTGAAAATATTTATGTTTTATTGCCCCTGCGTCTATGGGCAATACTAATTGACTTTCGTTTATTTAATTTATATCCAGTCTAACTTTTCATTTTTTTTGTACAGCGAAAATGACCCGTCTTATTCAGCTCTCACCCCCGTCGTGTCTGTTGTCAGCATGACAGCCAGACGAATTTTGGAAGATTCAGACGGCTTTCAATCTCTGGCGCCCGAAGTTGACGATAGCCTAACGCAACAGTCGGCCGGACCGTTGGCCTCGAAGTTATCGCCGACCTTCACAAAAGTCGGCGACGACGAGGACGTAGGTTCTATGGACCTGTGCAACGCTCTGACGGAGCCCAAGATTCAGCCACTGGAGGCTTGCGCCAGCCGGCTGGAGGAGGAGGTGGCCTGGTTGACATGGACGGTGAAGTTGGTCTCTCGACAGATTCTTGACTCTGCTGTGGATCGGATGCTCAGGGTCCACGAGGCGCGGCTCAACAGGGCAAGTGCATTATGGACTTAGGGCTCCGGCTGGAGAAGATGAGATGTACCTTGATGGTCTTTCACCAGCGCACTAGAGTATTTGTCTGGCCCTACAGTGAATGTGATTGCCATTTTACGAATGCATCTTTCTCTACTTGTCCTTCGCTCAAAATGGTGGTTTCGATGCTTTTGAGTCCCTTTGGTAGCGGGGATAAGAGCCACATGCGTTCCACTCATAACCATGGCGCCTATATGGTAGGGAGTAGAAAAGGGGGGCTTCTTATTACTTTCTTCGTGGACAGCGCACAACTTTCACTGCTTTAATGGGACTCTCTTCATGTGTTCTACTTGCGAGATTAGCATACGTATAATTATATAATAATGCTCATTATTATTATTATTACTATTATTATTATTATTATTATTATTATTACTATTATTACTATTAGTATTATTACTATTAGTATTATTACTATTATTATTATTATTATTATTATCATTAC